ACGCGCCTCACCGGGGACTAGCCGGATTTGTCTCCCGTCATCCGGGGACTAGCCGGATTTGTCTCCCTTCATAATCTCAATTTAAACTGTTGTCTCCGCTGTTGTCTCCGCTCTGTCTGAGTGTGGGAGCCGGATCTGTGACACGCCTCGCCGGGGACTAGGCGGATTTGTCTCCCTTCATAAACTCAGTGTAAACTGTTGTCTCCGATGTTGTCTCCGCTCTGTCTGAGTGAGGGAGCCAGATGCTGTGACGCGCCTCGCCGGGGACTAGCCGGATTTGTCTCCCTTCATAATCTGCAGCTTGAATGTCCGGCGCCGAAACACAGGGGCTCAGAGTTAAGCTGGCAAGTAGATGCCATGGGCGTCTGCGGACTTGATCTTGAAAGCTGGAAGATATGCGCGATGCTCGGCCAGGCGAAATAGTCTTCTTGAAAGTGGGACCAGAGTTTGGTGACCCAGCATGGAGACAAGGCCTAGTCGTGAAACGGCATTCAGCTGCAAGATTATTGATCATGGTCCGAGTTGCCGATCCCGGCAAGAACACCGAGCAAGAGGAAGTGACACTTTTCCCTTTGGAGCACCGCCGCTTCATGCTAGTAGAAGGGAGCGCAGCGCAGCTCAGGGAAGCGTTGCCTTACGAGCCTTTCCAGCAGCCTCGAAGTGAAGGCGACGGTGCTGCTAAAGCAAGGGAAGGAGTGGGTCGCATCCACCAGCGGGGAGCTGCACACTGCAACAGCGTCAGACGAGCCAGAGGTCCCCGAGAAGCCTCACAAGCCACACCGGGCACCTTCGAGCAGCTCAGCTTCGGAGGAGGACTCAGACGGTGGAGAGCAGGACGACGAGGACGTCGACGGAGACCTTCTGAAGCTCTTACAAGCAGCGAAAAAGAAGCAGCCCGGGTTCCGTTGCTGAGAGGCACAACTGCAAACCAGCACAAAGACCTCGACATGGACAGTGCCGTGGCGAAACTGTTGCAAAACAGTGCTGGTGGAAAACCGGACCTTCAAACTCTGCAGACGCTGTTGATGGTGAGGATGCTGACCGATGCATCCGAAGCCAAGAGAAGCGATCGCCGCAGTCACCGCCCACTCCAGAAGGACTCCGACTCAGACGACGAGAGCTCTTCACACGAAGACAAGAAGCTACGAGGAGCCGCGCGTGCTTTCAACCGCTACCGCAAGAGCAAAGACGCCATGTGGCGCAAGCCAATGAAGCACGTTCGGATCTACATCAATGAAATAGAGACAGAACTCGGTGTGGAAGGAGGAGACTTGCCCTACAACCTTTGGGACTACACGAAGAAGATCCCATTTGGCAAGCAGAAGGGCTTGTTTCGTTGCCATTTCCTAATAGTGTCACACATCCTCAAGCATCTGCTGGACGACGACGTGTTGTGGACTGCTTGCAGGCCGTATCATGTCACGAAGCCCCGTCAGGATGTGTGCTCAAAGATTGAAAGATTTCTGATGTAGATGGGTACACGTCTCGGGTGGGGCCATGGTACCGTTATCGGAGCTATGTGCTCGACTCGAGCTGCCGTCCGAGTTAGCTTCCGTGATGGAGCTTAAAGGTTGGACGGTGGGCAGGCTAGCTATGTTAGAAGATGCAGAGGTCACCACGATCCCCATCCTGCAGTCAATCATCGAGGGAGATGAGAGATTTGTTGGAGTTGATGCAGCAGATCTACGGAAACTTGTGGGCTGTTGCGGGTTGTTTACTAGCTTGGCTCGGAAATCGGAATCACACGACACAGGGACGGTCGCTGAAGCTTTCGTACGTAATGTACGCGCCAAGACGGCCGTTTCGGCCGAAGCTCTAGAGAAGGAGGCACATCACAAGGTCTTATCGTTGAGGGGCACGGCTCCTGTGTACAGATGGCCTACCAGACGGGCTCGGTTGTTGGCACGTGCTGGTGACGACGGCAAGCTGAGGGAGAGAGCTGAAGAGGCAGAGAGAGTTAGATGGATCAGATCTTTGGCTGTGCTGCTATACGTAGGGCGAACTCCCATCAGCCTTGACTTCGGCAATGCTATGGGGCTCGGGGAAAGTAGACGGGTAGGCAAAGGACGGAGGCCCTCCACGCTCAGGAAGCACGTGAAAACTTGGGAGAAATTCGTTCTCTGGTTGCAGGGTGCTTACAACATTGAGTGGCCCGAAGCTCCTTGCCATTTCATCGACTATTTAGAGGAGCGTGCATCGGAACCATGCGGCAAGAGCATCCCGCTCAGCTTGCTGAAAACGTTGATGTTCATGGAAAGCTCTGCCGAGGTGCCGAAGATGGCACAGATTTCTAATCATCCAGCGGTCTCCAACTCCATGCAGGAAATCACGCGTTTCCTCGAAACAGCGTCCCCTTCAGAAATTAGGAAAGCCAACATGTTCCCGGTCAAAGTCGTGATGGCGTTCGAAAGGGCCGTCACGGACAACTCGGAGCGCAAGTTCGTCAGGGCAATGGCGTGGTACAAGTTGGTGAAGGTCTGGGGGGCCTTAAGGCATTCAGATGCTCAGGGCGTGGACTATGGAACCATGAAGCTTTCGTCGCGCGGGTTGGAGGCGGTCCTCGTGCGGACCAAAACTACAGGTCCAGGGAAATCCGTCAAGAGGGTGAAGTTCTACATCTCCAAGGACGCTTGGATTGGGATCCCTGGGTGGCTGGGGGTAGGTTGGGAGATCTGGGATGAACTATCCCGAGAAGCTTCTCTTACCGAGAGAGATTTCCTCTTGCCAGTCCCAGGGTCTTCATTGGAATCCTTGACGAGAAAGGTCGCTTCGCATGCGGATGCCGCCGCACTCTCGAAGGCATTGCTTTCGAACTTGAAATCCGGAGAGGGTCCCGGGCACCTACTGTTGCCGGGGATGGCCGCAATGTGGACTGAACATTCGGAGAGGGCCACATTAAGATCATGGGCAGGTGCAGCAGCCATATCACCGGGATCAATGAAACGCCTGGGTCGATGGAAACAGGATGTTGATGAAGGATATGATCGAACAGATCGGGCGGAGGTGGAGAAATCCCAGGCCAAAATCGCATCGTTCATTCGTTCGTCGAGGGGTAAGGTCGATCAAGTCGACGAGGAAGGGCTGTTGGCTAAGATCGCGTCGAGGGCGAGCGAGCAAGGATTTGAACCGACGGTGGCAAGCGAACAGCTTATGCTTTTGAGTTACTTCGGGCCGGACACCGACCCAGTGACGGAAGACACGGAGCACTTCGAATCAGCATCGGACTCGGAAGCTTTCGTCGAAGTCAGGTCCGACACTGAAGCCCTGGAAGATGACCCAAAGCCGGATGCTCCATCAACCGTGGCGAATGAAGTTCGAGGCAAGTTCTTCGTTAGCATTGTCGGTCGGTCTAGGCAGAAGACACTTCACAGATCCGGGGAGTGCTATCGCGTGCCGGGAATCCACTACAAGGAGTTTCTCGATCTCGGCGATCAGTGGCCCGATAAGACTGCGTACCACAAAGCTTGCAAGGTTTGCTTCCCCAAGCAAGTCGGCCCCAGCGGAAGCGACGACAAGGAATCTTCCTCCTCGGAAGACGAGGTGAGCTCCTCCGACTCGGGATCGGTGGAGGGTTGAAGCGAAATGCGCCCAATGAAGAATCTTCCCCCTGTTATCTCTTTGGATAACGGGGTAGCTCCCCCGATTTGGTGTCGGGGGAGAAGACAGAAGAGAGACGTCTGAGAAGACACAAACCAGACAGTTAGGCCCAGAGCTTCAGCACATGCAGTCAGTCAGGAAAGGGATTCTGGACATCGAGCGTCAACCGTCGCTTCACGGTTAGTGCTGATGTGCGTCGCAAGTTTGTTTACTTGTCAGTGCTCAAGCGTAGCATGCGTGTGTGTAATCCCAAGTAGAGGACCTACATGGCGAGACCCGACATAAACACGGAAGCAGGGCAAAAGATCTTGGCGGCACAGTTGGATGCAGATTTTTCAGGCCTAGCTCAGACCAAGGGCATCCCACTCAAGAGACAAGCTGAGCTGGCACAACTATCGATTCTGGCCATCTCCCGCTACTCAGCTGTTGCTGACGATCGCCCAGGGCTCAGGACATTTTGCAAAGACGTCCTTCATCTAGATCCCACCACAGATGCAGCTCATTTGGTGGAAGTCGCTGCGTTGCTGGACCTGTGGGAATCCTGCAAGACTAGGGCCGAAGCTCAACACAAGGCAGATGCCGAAGCAGTGCTGAGCAAATTGCCTAGGGCGGCAAATAAGTCGGAACTGCAGGATATCAAATCCCGCTTTGAGGCTTTGCATTATGCGCTCGACGACAAGGCCACTCCTGCATCCGCTACGCTCGAACTTCATTTCGATCAAGTAGAGCAGGGTGAGTTGCGACCTACCACACTCAGCCAAAATGTCAGTCGCGAGCACGTAGAAGCAGAGCATTATGGAGCCGTCATTGACAAGTCCACAGGTGCCATCAAGATTAAGAAGAACCTCATTGAGGGCAAGAAACCTTCTTCTCCAGAGGAGTTCCGGGCATCCATCAAGTTGGTAGCGCACACATGGGTCATGTGCTTCATCAGATACCCACAGAAACCCTTCTTGAAGGATGCCTCCGTCTCCCAGTGGCTTCGCTGCGCCGATTACATTCTCGGCGAGCACGTTCATCAGCTCACCGCCAAGGACGGTCAAGGACATGTCAACGGTCAAGGACATGACATGTCTACGCCACCATGGGAGCTAGTCTTGGCCTACGACTACCAAATTCGCCGAGGCATGGTCCGACTGATCAACGAAGGCCTCTCTATCGCCACAGCCTTGGATCATGCCATGAAGGACGCAGTCATCAAAGAGCGTTACTTTGCCACGCCATGCGCACTCACTTCTGTGATGTCAGTTCCCCATCGTTCTAGGTCACCTTTCAATCGTGGCATTCGCACTGACGGCAGCTTCGGTGACCAGGCGCGCACCTTCAAGGGCAAGGGCAACCAGAAAGGCAAGAGTAAGAAAGGCAAGAACAAAGGTCTCGTCTACCATTCCAAAACTCCTGATGGACGTGAGCTTTGCTACGCATGGAACAATGCCAACTCCAGATGCCGCTTTTCAATTGTGGTAGAGTACATGCTTGTCAAATCTGCTTTGGCAATCATCCCACACACGCTTGCCCGAAACATAAGGACACGGCGGGATCGGCAGCCCCTGCCGATACTAAAGAATCCACTTCATGAAGTCCGCAGCCTCCGTCGGCCCCATCGGAGGTTGCTGCTACATCTTTGGGGCCCGCTGTTTCAGCGGAGCAGCGCGCTCAGATCCTCTACCTTTTCAGTGGCCGTGAACGAACATCGTCAACGGCCTCATTGCTACAGAATTCAGGTTTCATCGTAAAGTGTGTGGGCATTTCCCAAGGAAGTGGCTGCGACTTGTCTATTGAAGTAGTTCAAGAGCGAATTTTGCGCCAGATCGACAGCAAGATGTTCCAAGTCATATTATGCACTCCTCCGTGTTCCACTTTCTCCAGAGTCCGCTGTGCCAACAAGCGAGGCCCACCACCAGTTCGGGACGCGAACCATCCTGCCGGATACCCATGGTTGAAGGACTCCCGAGCGCACGAAGCATGGCTCGGTACAATGCTCGTGGAATTTTCCATCAAAGTCTTTCAAACCGCCTCGCAGGTCTCGGAACAGAGTCCCGACCATCCGATCTTCCTTCTATGGGAGCATCCCGCAGATTTAGGCATGTGTGTGCGTGAAGGGGACAGCATGCACATTCAACCGGCTAGTGTTTGGCAGTTGGACGCCGTGCGGGACCTGGTGAATCACGGTCGGCCGCCCATCTTCACAGTACTTCACAGTGGTGTTCACTCAATGTTGCCATGGAGCACCATACCGCAAGCCTACCCGCTTCTTGACAAATTTGCCGGGCCTCAGGTCTTGGGGTCCGGCCGATTGGCCCTTGCTGGATGACGATGGCTTCTATCTCGGGCCCCTCCAGCATGCGTGCACATGCCAAATAGCCGGCAGATTGTCTCGGTCTTCTCAGGACTCAGGGTTTCGAACTTCAGCCCCTGCAACATGGACAAAGCGATTGCCTTAGCCATCCAGAACGCACTCAAGTCAGCCACGTGTCCTTCTGTGGGGTCAAGCACGTGCCTGCACGCAGACGCCAGATTTGGGATCCCGGTCGACACCTCGGTTGGCTCTCCGTCTCGGTCTTTCAGGGCTCGCACGTCTATTGAGGAGGTGGCGACCTCTGTGGCCAGCGCCCAAGTTGGCGACGGAGTCAAGCAGACATGGGGGCATGGCCCACAGATCATGGCGTGGTACAAAGGCTCGTCCAGGCCGATTCACGATGGAGGCGGTCTGCTGTCGCCGGGGAGGTGGCCGATCGGTCGTCGTGACTATTCCCTCAGTGCTCGAGGAGAAGGGCTGCGGGATGTAGTTCACGAACAGTTCAAGCTTTGGTGCGAAGCAGTGCGAGAATCGGGGAAGGACGTCATGAAAGACAAATTCTGGCCTTCAGCCGCGGGCTTGATTAGGGAGAGTCGCCTTTCTCGGAACACATCGAATCGGCTCGGTTTGCTGTGGATGAGTTCTTGCATCAGGAGGGCTTGGAGCCTGGGCGAAGGCCTGAGGACTTGGAGTCTGAGATTGCCTTTCACCGAATCGCAGCTGCTGCAGAGGCCCTCGGAGATGTGGACTTCCAGTATCTCCGCGAGGTGGCTGAGGTCGGGGTGCCCATCGGAGTGGGCGTGGAATTGCCGCGCGTCCCCGATGTATTCGAGCCAAAGGTCAAATGGAACCTCAGCGAAGCTGAGGGTGAGTTCGTGGACACGAAGGCAGACAATTATTCGTCTGCAGTGGAGTCTATGGCAAAGGTTAGGGAGCAGGTTGAAGAGGACGTTCGCAAAGGATTCATAAAGCATATGTCTCGTTCGGAGGCGGAGCTCGAGTACCAAGGCAGACTGGCCGTGGCAGCGCTTGGTGCTGTGCCGAAGGCCCTAGACTCTGACGAAGTTAGGGTGGTGCACGATGGCAGCCATTCTGTTGACGTCAACCACAGGATCAGAGTTCTCGACCGCATACGTAATCCTCTAGTGGATGATGCTGAGGCGATTATCAGGCAGGTGAAGGAGGAGGGCTCGGCGAGTCCCGGAATCAGGTTCAGTGTGGCATACGACGTGGCTCACGCTCATCGCCTCATGCCGGTCCGAAGAGACGACTGGGGCTATCAGGCATTTTGCTTGGACAACCCGAGCGAAGTGTTCCTGCATAAGAGAGGCACGTTCGGCGTCTCATCTGCTGCTTACTGGTGGCAGCGGCTCGCAGCGGCTCGCAGCGGCTCGCAGCTACCTTGATCAGATGCTTTCATCTCCTCGCAGGTCTGCTGTGGGCCGTTTACCATTTGCTCTACGCGGACGACGGTTGGTTGGTGTCTCAGGGCTCCGACTTCGGTTACAAGTGTTTGTTCTGGCTGTTTTTGCTCGAGATTTTCGAGGTGCCGGTGGCGTGGAAGAAAGTCCGGGGTGGAGTACGTTTGCAATGGATCGGCTACGAGCTCAGCTTGGACTCCTACCAAGTTGGGATCAGCGAGAGGAAAAGAGAGTGGATCCTGAGATGGGTGGACACCGCACTCGCGAGGGGCGGAATCACGGTCGGGACCTGAAGTCTGCACTGGGGCGTTTAGTCTTCGTGGCCGGGGCTCTCGGGCACGTTAGACCTTTCTTGGGTACGCTTTTCGCCTGGTCCGCGGTGCTTGCTCCAGGTACATGTGCGTCGTTTCCTCTCGGAGTTCGATTGGTCCTGGAGCTCATCAGGCAGGAGATTGGC